GGAGAAAGATTTCCAGAGTTTGATGATGTACCGTTCCATGCGCCAAAGGGACAGGAAGCGGATACCGAACCGACGCCAATGCAAGAGGATCCAACGAATCCATATGAGATCGGAAAGAATCCGGAACCTATCGAGGATGATCGGATGAGTGAAGGCTATGAGCCAACAGAAGTACCGGAAGAGTACAGAGCACCCGAGTCACCCGGGGAGAGTCCCATGGACATTGATTTGTTCCAGAAAATCCCAAGAAGAGGAAAGAATCGGAATAATGACCATTGGGAAGTTGATCTTGACAAGCTTGTGTTGAGAAGAGTTCACCACAGAAGTCGAAAATGTGTTTTTGCAGCATCATCACTGCCATTGCCGATGCCTGAGGATCAGCTGGTAGGTATTCAGAGGACGTACTACGTCGATGCTGTTGATGAAAGGCCAGTCGATGAGATTCCAAGGGACCAGTTCAAGGTCCATGTCAGCGAGTTCGGAACCCAGACCGCGCCATTGAGGCGTCATTGGAAAGGGTTTACCGAATTGCCAATCAAGCAGCTCTACATGTATGATCATCAAGGTAATGCCATTGCGAGCTTATCAGATCTAGGTAAAGAGTTGTGGGAAAAGGTGAAAGACCCCTTGTCAAGATGTTCGGATGATGAGGTTGAAAGGTTCTTGTCATCAGTTCAAGAGGGGGTATTTGAGTATAGCAGGAAGGTTCCAAAGGAAACCGAGGAGTCCAAGTTCGACGCGAAGGCCGATTCGTGCAAAGTGTGGTTTGGAGGTAGATGGATTGTACTCCGAAAGCCATCAAGAGCGACTTCAGATATAGGTGAAGGTCCATTAGATGTGGATGCCACATTCGAGGGAATGCACACAGAGGTCATTGCCCTAGAGAAGCACAGGACAGGTCAGGTCGTGAATAAAAATGAAGCGCAAGAGTATTGCCAGATGCATGGTATCCGAATCATCTCAACCCGATGGGTAGTTGTAAATAAGCATGATGCTATCAAAGGAGACATCGTTCGATCGAGACTTGTAGTCCGTGATTTCGCCACAGGTCCGTCAGCAGCCGAGTTGGGCGTTTCAAGCCCTACAGCGTCATCAGAGGCGTTGAAGGTTGTGTTGTCTTATCTTGCTCAGAAGTCAAGTTTTCGAAAGAAATCAAAGAAAGGAGGAGTAGGAAAGACAGCATGGGTTTTAGATGTAAGTACAGCATTCTTGCACGCCCCCGTGATTCACCCAGCGGTCGTTTCGTTGCCGACTGGGATGGAAGATGAAAACGGAGAGCCTTTGTTCGTCATTCTTGAGAAAGCGATGAACGGACTTCGTTCTGCAGGAATGTCATGGTATCGTCACTTAGCCGATTTGTTAGATCAAGAAGGTTTGACAGCGTGTAATGATTTTTCTTGCTATCCAGGGTTGCAATTTGCAACCAGGGTTGCAGTTAAGGAGGAAGTTTTCCAAGCATTGAGCTCAACGCTAGTGAAGCTCAACGCTAGTGAAGCAGTCTGGCAGGATGAATCATGATGATGTTGTTAGCTTGATCCACTGCGAAGCTCTTAATGGATAGCACGCGTGCGCGCACAGACACACGCAAAGGCTTTAAGGGTCCGTGTGGGGGGGCCGATGCGTCAAGTTCGAGACTAGTGAAACGACTATTATAGTTTTGAGACCCCGATTTCGTTTCCCGCGGATTTTGAATTTTTGTGATTTAATGAGTTGCGATTTGATGTCATGTTGCGTGGCGTTTTTGTCATTGCCCGCTGCATTGATTCTGCGCAAACCCAATTACAGAGCGCATGTGGTGACACAGTGACGTGCGCAAAAAAAACACATGGAGACAATTTGATTTTGAACCGTCACGGGGTTTTTCGTCCTGGAGTCGCAGTCACACCCGCCATGCCGTTCAAACGCAGTGTCTCTTCCTTGAGTGATGAGCCGGTTTCAAAGTCAGAACCCCAGAGTTCATTTGATGTTGTGTAGTGTACAATCACTGGCAACTTACTGTGTGACTCAAATGGAATTTGTTTCATTGGTATTAGGACTAGGAACTAGGTTGACTTTCAGGCCCAGACCTGCAAACGTGATGAAGCCGAACTTGAAGAAGAAGAAAACAGACAGAGCCTAAGAGCGGGCAGGCTTATGACAAGTTCCTTTGCCATGTCAAAGTTGACCCATGTTTCGTCAAGTGAGGTTGTGGCTGGATGTCCAGTTGGCAAACGCGCTCCAAATTTTGGATGCGCGCGAGCAGGGCCATGTCGGGTTGAGGTGCAGTCATTTAAACCACAGTGGTACAAAAATAAAGTGCCTGACTGCGGGCCTTTGCGAATGCGTTTGGTTTCTTGGATTTTTGACTGGTCATTTCTTAGTCCTTCTTGTTGCGAAAGCCGCGGAAATTCATTGGTCAAAGCCCCATTGCTTGTCCGACCAAGGTTCCACCGAAGAAACAACAACCACGGGGACCTGTCAAACCAAAGCTTCAGAATCAGCCTGTCTACAGGGATGTCTTCGGGGCAATAAGTTCCTGGGTGACAATGATTTGTAGGTAGTGAGTCGCATTCAATGTCTCTTTGATTTGTTGGGGCAGCCATTTAGTGAGTTCCATTTTTTGTTGTGCGTGACCCGAACTTCAGGGTGCTTCAGCGGAACAACTCGGGCCACCACGTCCCATCTTTCACAACGAGGGACCCAAGCCGTTTGCTCAGTTACCAGTTGGTTTTAGGGTCACTGGGCAGCAACGCAACTTGTCCTGAGGACGCAGCGACTCAGATCCGCCACTGGGACTTTTACAAGTCCAGCTGCCGCAGGAAGAACGTGTCTTACGGCAAATTTCTCGTGCCCACTGTGGCAGAGTTCCTATCCGGACACACCCTCAGATTCAATTGGAACAATGACAATGTATATATTGCGTTTCAAATACCAAACAGGCCGCGGTTTGACCTTAGGTTTGCCAACTGGATGGACAGAAGACGCATCAAATTCTGTGTCAAACGAGAGTTTTCGAAAGTTTGCACCGCAGGCTTGGCATGCGCGTTTTAGTTAACGAGTCTGTCTGTGTGTACTGCGGGAGTTCTACAAGCAAAACAACGCAACACAGACCCAGTGCCAGGTCTCCACAAAGCCAAGCGCAAAAGTCATTTCGCTTTTCAGCGGTGTGGGTGGGCTGGAGCTTGGCCTTCGACAGTCGCAACCTCAGCCCGGCGGCGTCGTTCCAAAGCAACATGTTATTTTTCCTATTCGTCCGAAAACGGTAGGTCCAGTGAAACAGTGAGCTTGTGGCAGCCTCATGAGGTTTTGCGCCCCAATTTGCTATGCCAGGGTCCTATCTGATAGTTTGTACATATACAGTATCAGTATCACACTTAATGGTTCGTTGTGGCGTTGTGAGTTTGAGGTGGAATCCTCGCCTGAGTGTCGGCAAATTTTGCGCAAGCGAATGGCAGATGGACTGTTGGAGTCTGCTCCGGTGATGAATGACATTCGATACTTTGGGCCTCCGCTTGACATTGCAGCCTCCGCCGCAGGGGTGGTCGGAGGCTTCCCTTGTCAGGCGACTTCAACTTTTCCTTCGAACAAGAACAGAGTGCACAATTGATGTTCAAATCGCGCTTGTTGTTTCATGTTGTTTCCCTTTTGAGTTAATGACTGAGGGAATCAGCAAATCGGGAAAACAATTGGGTCTTCAAGACCCACGCAGTGCATTGATCAAATCCGTGTTCGACGTCATAGATTCCTGTCCATATTTGCAACTCAGTGCCCAATTGGATGCTAGAAGTGGAAGCTGCTTTGGAAACGCACAGCTCACAGACCCATACTTTATTTCAGGACATTTGCTATTTTGGAGAACGTTGCGGCCTTGCTCAGCTCCAAATTGCGTAGTATGTGGACCTACATCTTGAAGGTTTCAGCTGTTTGCGTTGCGAAGCCATTGAATTCAATGGAGTCCGTGCAAAACAGTCAATTGCCTGGCTGGAGGCGTTCGCTTCTCGTGGATTTACAGTGAGCTGGTGCTGTGTGACGGGCAAAATGGCAGGCCTGCATGTCCTTGCCTCATTCATTCCGAGTCGTCGCAGATTTGGGAATAGTAGGGCATGGGGTCAGAATGTGTAGATTGCAGCTGTGCATTGAACGCACTCAGTCAGGTTAACCGGGCTAGGATTTTTATCCTGGCATTGAGACCGGGCGGCGCTGAGACATTGTTTCAGGCAGCGGCTTTCACAGTAAACTCAAATTGTGAAGTTAGGTAGTAATTAAGATGTCATGTTCAGCTACAACAAGTTACAATGGCTGGCAGGGTGTCAAGATCATGACTGACGAGGAGATTGAGGACCAGGCGAACAAGTGCCTGCTCATGGCGTCCGGCCCTTGCCCGTCAACCTGGCTTTCCAAACAGCAAAGCCAATCAGACAAGATTCGCTTGACTGCTGTGGGCAATGTCGTCATTCCTAAATGTGCGGCCCTAGCGATGCACATTCTGGCACGTGCGCTCCCCCAAACATTACATCCTGAATCCTAATTGTTTTTTTACTTTGCCATTCTGAAGTCAGTTCGCTTTCAGGCTTATTACATGTAGCATCGTTTTGTAGTTGTATCAAAGGGTCATTGTAATCATTGCATCACAGATCGAATCGTGGGAGCAACTGTGCAATTCAAACAAGCTTGCAGTTAATTTGGGCAGTGACTCCGACCGCCCCTTGGAGCCACATCACGCCAATTCAATTCGAGCGGACAAGTTCAAGTTCAAGGAGACCTTTGGTCTCAGGTCGGCCTGGCTTGTCATTGTTACCTGCGTGCAATGCAATGCCACCTAATCAACGTGTTTCTTGATTGGGATGCTCGATTTGACCCAACGCCGGGCAGAGTTTTTGGTTCTGTTGAGGAGGCTGTCCGCCCGCTAGCTTTCGCAATGTTTCTTAAGCGCTACTTCCGGCATGCGGACGGCTCACGGCTGTCATGGATGGCGTCCTGTTACACTCAAGATAATGATGGCGGTGGCTGCGGTCACTCAGGCTTTGTTTGGGAGGATAGCCAGGCTGACGGTTTGGCTGACCACGTGTGCCCTGAAGCTGTGATCATCGTGGTTGATCCTGAGCCTGATCCCGTCCCCACCAAGAATCCTCAGAATGAATCCAGACCAAATTTAGAGGGCTGAACATAATGTTCAAAGTGTGTCGGAACGATGTTGCACACAATGATAATATTAGGGCAAATTTGTGACATTTTGTGACTATCAGCCATCAGCTTGCCTAGGATGGGGATCTGCCGGCATCTACTGCAGAGATGGTGGAGGCGATCTATTTATGAGTTGTCAAGTCAGTCATTCTGATACGATTCTCAGCCTGGTTGATTGGGGTTAGACATTGAAACTCCTTGTTGCCTTATGATGTTCAAGTTCAGTCAACCGCAGGCCGTCGCTCACGAGAACAAGAAGCGCAAGTTGACAGCTGACATCATGTCGCAGGAGAAGGCGAGCGCCAAGAATTGAAATCGTTGCGCAAATCAAATTGTTTTTTGGGTATATCCTGATTGATGCGACAGGCTGAACAGTGGCAGCTTTCTGAAGGACAGATTCAAACCCAGTTTCAATTGTTGCAGTGAGTTAATTCATTGCTCTCTTTCTTCAAGCTCGGGCAAGAATACACGTGGCACTGGGTCCTTTTTGGTGGTTATTTTGCAATGAGTTCTAAAGTTGAGGTGAACTTTTGACTCTCTTGCAGGACCCAGAGCAACGTTGGGAAAGCGATCTCGGATGACGGAAGGCGCAGCGGGTGGAGAGTGCTTGTATAGATTCCAAATTACCTGCTGTGAGCAGTCACTACTTTTTTACTTCTTGTAGTCATCCATTCACGCCCAACGAGTGGCTCTGTCGGAAGGCAACGCTCCTGATGTTGATGACAGTGTCAGCTTGACGCCGCCGGCAAGTAGCTCAACACTGGTGACTTCGTCTCTTTGTCGATTAAAGAGTTCGGCTCAGCTAGAACCATGAGAGTGTGTATTGTGCTGCTTTTAGGTGCCCAATTCATTGGCTTTAGCAAATTCAATGCGTTGCAATGTTTGTGAGTCCGTTTGTGCTTCAAGCGGTCTTCAGTGTTACTGTTGCCACGGCAGTGAAAAGTGTTTCACGCAGACGACGGTTGACATGAGTTTTGACTCGTGGGGCAATTTGTCTTGTGTTGGCAATGTTATGGGCTACCTCCCTTAGTCTAGTTTGATGTCATGTGTGGATGTTAACGAAAAATTAGACCTGCGTATAAACATGACCTTCAGCTGACAGACTGCCAGCATGCAGTGGTGCCTGCGTTGACTGTCTGACTTGAATGTTGAATCAATCGGTCTGACAGAGCGTGAGTGTTTGGATTATTTGCTGCATTGTTCAACTCAATCAGTCTCACCTTTAAGTGTCGCCGCAAGGTATATAGTAAAATCCTGGAATCACAGCTAAAGCTAAGTAGTCACAAACTCCCCTTTGGCCAACTTTCTAAGCTTTTTGCAACAGTTTTTTGAGGGGCGGTTGGTAGTCCGTTTTTTTTGCATTGCGGGCGCAGTCCAGCAATGCCGTTCAACGATGTTGACTGCTTGTCAGATGACAGCGGTGGCCCGAAAGTTAAAGTTGAAGTGAAGCAGGAGGTGCCAGTCCCGAAGAAGGAGAAGCCTGTCAGAGATTCAAATACCCTCCGCTGGAAGCCTTCTTACGTTAGATCTTTTCTTGGACGCTTAGTGTGCCAAGTTTGCAAGTGTGATGCTGGACGCGCGCAGGGATCCTGGCAGACCAGGAACTGTTTAAAACAGTTTCGCACTGATGTCGAACCCCTTTTTCAGCTGCGTATGCGATTACACCGTTTGCATAAGGCGGACATGGATCGGGAGGTGTGGTGTGCTTTTTTGAAAAGCAGAAATAGAGAAAGGGTACACTGTTCCAATTGACAAACTTTTTTAGAAAAACCGGTGGTTACAGGATGCCATAATGGTCAATAAACATTTTCCCTGTGTGATTCTGAAGTTTAGTTTAGGAGTCGTCCTAACTTTGTTGCATGTTTGCAGGTGGTGGATATGCTATCAAGGAGTCTGAGAGGGACACACTCCGCGGACAATCGGGGGCAAGTGATCCTGGGTCGACAGGTCTGCCAACGGGCCTTCAGATCTCTGATTGGGCTTGGCACCGAGCGCTATGCAAAGTTGAAGAGAGCAGCTATGGATGGCACTGCTCCACCGGGAGACGGCCGCTGCCTCCCAAGAAAGCTTTTGCTGAAGACACAGAAGGCATCGATCGACAAGCGAAGTGCTATCGCTGAGTTTTTGGAACAGCTGTACAACACCTTGAGTGAGCCAACACCTACTGTGCTTCATAGTGACACTCAGTTTGTGAAGCCTAAGCTTGGTAAGCGCAAGCGGAAAGACGAGTCTGCTGAAGTCAAGGCTGAAGGTATGGGGCCTGTTAAGCAGGAAGAAGTGCCAAAGCCATTGAAGTTCCACAGGTTGCGTGGGCGTCGGCCACGGAGCGCAAGAATTCTTTGCAGAGGCAAGGGGGGTTCGCAACTTCGGCTACTACCACCCGGCACGTTCACGGACTATCTAGTGATGTTCCGTGCCAAGCGGCCTGACATGAAGTCAGTGAGCTTGAAACTGTTCAGCTGGAAGAATATGAATCCCACTTGGATCGCCAGTACAGAGACCGATCACTATATTGGTCATCACGTGGGCTTTCACGACTGAGCATCTTGCCGGATGGCAATCGGTCAGTGACAATTGTCACTGACGCAATAGATCATTCGAAATTTCGCTATCCCAGGAGTCATGCTGTCGCTGTCTCGAAGGAACTGTCGGGCTTTATACGGCCGTCGATGGACCTTTCTGCCGTATTGGCCCACGGCCAATCAATTGCACTGTACATGTCAGAGCCATGGGTCCGCAAGGACAGTTCATGGTGCAGTGAGATACTGTGCCACACACTGACCATGCTCCCATTCGACCTCCGCGAGACGGAGATTGTGCTGCAGGCTGACAACTGCAGCCGGGAGTGCAAAAACAATAGCTTAACCCGGCTTGCAGGCCTTTTAACAGGCATGCGTCGTTGCAGGCGTTTCGAGATGCGGTTCCTGGCCACGGGCCATTCCCACGAAGACGTGGACCAACTATTCAGTACAATGGCAGCTGCTATTGAACGTTGCCCTGAGGTACATGTTCCAAGTCAGTTCCAAGATCTACTGGAATCCTGGCTTGCGAATTCAGGGGTCCGTCCACATGAGCAATCCTTCAGGAAAGTGTTCAAGGTCGACCAAGTCCGCGACTGGTAAGCTGGCGACAAGTTGGGCAACCATGTTCACTGTTTTTGTCTTCTGAACTTCGGTTCAATCCCTGTAACTTCTCGATCGGTCTATTCACGTTGGGTATGAACCGTTCAAGTTCTTCAAGGAAAACTATCCGAGCATGGTTATTTTCCTATTCAGCTTGGGCCATTAAATCTGGCCCCCTTACTAAGTTAAGTCCTGTATCTATTGTAGAACACCCATAATATTCCAGATGGGATTTCTTGGTCCAACCCAGCCAGGTGGGAACTTGGCAAAGGAGCCCCTGCGTGTTGAGCAACCAGACCTTTAACTTAATAAGCAAAGTCTGTTTGAGCGCAGCGTCCGGTGGTTACATGGCTTTGCTTTAATAACTCACACTCCCGGCGAGGCGCGCCTGGCTGTTGTTCGCCTGCGAGGAAAACCACCTTGCAGGGATCACAGGACCTGGCGCTCCTCACCTTTTTGCCTTCGACAGAAGAAGCGATCTTGGAGGCCCGTTCCGAGCGGCGTTTTTCTGTTTCGGTTCACGCTCAAAGCTGCTGGGTTGAGAGCTTGTGTTAGTGCTTTATAGCTCGTCGTTTCAATCACTACAATTTCTGTGAGGAGATGTTCGCGCCAAGATCAAGAATACATTTTGGGCCGATGTAAACCATGATGACGATGTCATCCTCAGGACCTGGAGTGATCCTGTGTGGGGGCAGTTCATGGGAGTGACACCTAGTGTCTTTAAAAGGTGATTCGGTCATCTGTAATCAGTGCTGTTTAGTTGTTATGTATGAAACCGTTGTTGCTGTTTCTGCTGAGGCTCACGATATAATTGCGGTGGTGGTTGTGAGTAGGTGATAAATGTTTTGTTGTTGCGATCATGTTTGCTACGTCGGTTGATGTTATCATTGTTCCCAGGACCAAACATCACATGTCAGATGAGCACTGGTTGGGCGACCCAATGCTGTACCTACCGCACGCCCTGATTGAAAAGATTGCTTATTCCGGGACGGTCCCATCAGGCTCATCTTGAAACCCGTTTTGACGCCAGTCTGTCGGTGCAATTTTCGAGTTGTCAGTTACAGTTCTGTTTGCCGTGGCGCAGTGACTGAGTGGCTGCCAGTCACGGTTGACGACCGAGCTCATGATCCCAAGCTCCTGGATAATTGGTCGAGATATGCGAAAATCATTCGTGCCTGGGATGTGCCCATGAAATTTGCAGGCATTACGATAGCTGTCATTATATTCATTGTGGTTTTGCTTTACCTTAACAAGAAGTGGGGCCGAGGCCAAGATCCTTACAACATGACGGAAGCGGCTGACCATCTGGAAAAGCTGGCAGACGGCCAGCTGGAGAGGCTGCCTTTGCTCAACGTAGACAGGCAGGTGTGACGGTACATGATCCGGTGTCCGGCGACCGCAACTATTACGTAGAAAACAGTCGTTGAATGAAGTTCAGTCTTATTACTTGGGTACATCAAGAGTAAACCAAACACAATTTCATTTCCTCAATTGTGATGGCTGCAGGTGCCTGCCAGCTCCTGGCCCTGCTGTTGGCCATGGCCTCGACGGATCTGCTCCATTGAGAGGTCGCAATCTAGACTCTGAGCCACGGTGGGCAAGAGCAAGAGCTGTGATTAGCTTTTCAATCAAATGCACAGTGTCAACGATGTTTGCTCCGATAGTTTTGCAATCCAGTCCCCCGATGTGTATTATAAATGACCGCGAAGTTGCACCGCGCACGTTTCTCTCTTGATTTGTTGCGAGCGGTTCAGTCTAGATGAAGCAAGAAAGAACCATATAAATACAGTATTGTTTTCATGTTTTCTTTCAGCCAGTCAGTGATGAGTTCTCAGGATCCAAATTCAGTTGTGATCAGACGTGACAAGAAAAATGCAAAGTTTTTGGACAAGTACAAGGTGAAGAATCGGGATGTTCACATCTACAGGGCCGCCGTGATTTTGTGGGGGGGAGGCGGCCATCAGATGACATGGGAACGTGCTCTTGAACTGAGCCGATCCGCTTTTGAAGCCACCTCAGACTGAGCCGTTTTGCTTGGTCACTATTTCATGGATCCGACATCATGCAGCGACGCTGCAAAGCAATATTATATGCCTCCATGCCATGGCGAAGAGTTTTTTGGTGGTTGTTTGGTGCCTAATTGTGACTGCGTCTTGATGGTTGTTTGGTTTGCTTCAGGCTTCAGGGGGCCGGCCCAATGTTGACACCTAGCCATATTTTTTTAGGGGGGCCTGTAAAAAAGGCACTAAGCGGTTCGTGCCCTAGGGAGTTGGATCCTAAATAGAAATGTTTTGGCAATTCCAGTCACAATCACCCCACCTGGCGCGAAGCGCGGGAACTGTACTGTCGCTCAGCTCCGGCAGTCAGAAAATTGGTGCTTCGGAGTGGAGGAGGGATTTTTTGATGACACGTCGTGGTGTCATTTGCCAAATTTCAATTTCACAACATATGGTTTTAGGCTCCCCGCTAATGGTCTGATGCTATAAAAAACATGTGGTGGAGGGGTCGTGAATGCAGCAGAGTCTGATCTCAGACTTAAGTTCAAAAAAGCAAAAAAATTGGGTGCGGCATGGAATTTTACGGGGGAACTTTTTTTGGTTTTTAAGATCGATTGTGCATGTGTGCGAAGTACATGGAAAATTTCAGTTTGTGACTAACGACAGCGCCCGTAGTCACAAACTTGGTGGCCAACGAAGCGTTCCGTCGCAATTGGAGTACCCAACAGCGCCCCCCGTCACAATTAAGGAACCAACTGGTCGCAGCGTGAAATAGTCTAACAATATTTTTTCGATGCTGTGTTCGATGGCGCAACCTTGGTTTGTGACGGATCACAGTGGATCTAGTCACAAAAACCGATGAGTTGAGTGTTGCGGAGTTTGTGACGGCTTTCCACGCTTTCTTTTTTCTGACGGATTTGTCGGTAGCAAAGGAATCGATTCTACAATTCTACAATTCTACAATATTCTACATATGTATTGCAGCTGGTTTTCTTTCCTGGCCAGGTCGCTATGGCCTTGGTTTTCGCCTGGCACTTTACATGGCGTGCGAATGAATGCCAATTGAGGATGCAGCAGTGATTCCGAAAATTTTGCGTTGCCGTGCACCGTATACCCACAGTGATGGTTAATTTAATCGGGTGCATTGTGCAAATATTTATGCGTTCTACTTCTATCATCAGTAGGCTGACGGCTCAGGGTACTTGGGAGTGCCACGCCACGCCCAAGCGGAAGTCCGGAGATGGCAGCAGGCCTAAGGATAGTAAGGCTGCAAAGTTCCGGGTCAAATCGGAGGTCGACGATCTTTCTGGCTATGACTATGTCAAAAAACTTGACGAATGGTTGTTTCCCGCCTGCTCTATACTATTCATGTCATGTTGTGGGTCCTTCTGAAAGGTTTCTTTGGTTCACTGTATGTTCTTTGGCAAGCTAAACCGCTGTGCTTTTTAAGGCTGAAGATCGCAGACACGGCGGGAGATGACCTGGTGAAGTTCCTCAGCTGGCTGGATGTGACATTCGAACCAGAACCATCAGTGTCCATGCCTTAGTGGTTGTTATTAATTTGGAATACAGTTTCATAGGATGCAGCAGTTGTTGAGGACCTATGCAACTCGCAGCCAGTTGGAAGTCAATGGCCCGCTATCCCTCCGGCCTTGGAATTTACCGTTTGCACCGAGCTGCGGCCTAAAGGGCGTTGTCGAACCAGAAGCTTGAACGCGCTTGCTGTTTGCTGTTTGTTTAGCTTCGTGAACCCATGTTGATGGGTGCAGAGTCGTCTTGCCGATCTACACCATACTACATGATGTCACAGTGTCACACTGCGTCATGCAAGGACAACGTCAAAGAACTTGCACAGTTGATAGCCATCCATGGGATGGAGACAAACAGCGACAACCCCGGGGTGGAGCGGATTGCTGTGTCGACCTTGCGCCCGGACGCTGGTTGTGTGCCACCTTTCATCTTGAATGTCACTGATGTCTTAGACAAGGAAACATTGGCACATGGTGGAGACAAGTTGTTGGATCCTCATGGAGTTTTTCTAGTGAAAGGATACACACGGACATACTGCATGTACCTGGTTTTGCTTTGCGCGTACGAGCTGCCAGAATTTCTTGAGGCAGGCTTGGATTTCATTTGTCGTTTCGCAGACTGTGTGACAGAGGCTTAGCTTGTAAAGTCATTGTCGTGTGTCATTGCCACTGAATTGTACGTGGTAGGCGTTCTCAACAACTGTTCGCGCGACTCTTGGACATATTATGTGTTTTCGTTCCGGACTGCAGTGCAGAAATACTATGCAATCCCGCATAATTGTCGATCTACTAGTTCCCAGGACATTCAGCACTATCCACGCAACATCTGTCATGGCTGACTCCACGGCGGCTGACCTGGTCTCACAAAACCGCTGCATCACGCTGGCAAGCACAGTGCGGCGCCGGCCGAACTGCTTCAACTTGTTTCATCAAATGACCCTGCTCCGCAGAGTTGGTGCCAACGAAGACGTGATCCGGTTTACATTAACCCAAACAGTTTTCATGCAGTATTATTATGTCACCTCATCGTATCATGCTTATAGTTTTTGCTGTGAGACCAAGTAGTACTTCTATTCATTGTGAAGGAATGGGCAACAGCGTCAGACCTTGCAGTTGCATACAACGTCGGCCGCACAGAAGCACAAGCTGCATGGAACTTGCTTTCGTGCATCGATGCCTCCGTCACTGAGAGGCTTACAGTGCTTGTCAAGAATCTCGCTTGATTTGTCTATTGTTTGATGGTTTGAAGTGGCATGAACTGCCAGGCCGCCAGGCCTAAATTGTCTTGTGGCTGGTTGTTCATTTCCGGGGTCGCGTGAGTGACCAAGGAAACACACCCTTGGGAAGTTCATGACGAATGATACAGTTGCGCAAGGGTGCTTTAACAGAGACAGCTGCAGCGCACAGCCTGTGATGTCCGCCTGGCAGGCCCAGTTGCTCAACACCGAGGCGATTCTTCTCCTTCTTTGTGATCGCCTGGAAGCAGACTTCATCCACACCCCTGTGAAGGGCCGGAAGGCGTTCAATCATTCTCAGGTTGAAGCTCAGCTCATTGATGCCATTCTGCCTGGATAATACTAGTAGTATATAATAGTATTTATTGGACGATGCCACACATAAAAAGACACAGAAATAATATATGGTAGTCAACTCGAATACACGGGCTGTCTTATAGTGTGGCTGTTCATTCGCTTCGATGGGCTGCAAACTTCCGCTGTTGAATCTTGCAAAGGAACAACTTCAACGCCTGTGCGCCGTCTTTCTCGTCTGCTGGGAGCTGAGAGATACCCAAACAGTTTTGTGAAGGCTGAAGAAGCATCAATTCGCAAAGCGTTTCTTGGTGTGGGTCTAGTTCTTATTAAAATATGCTCGACTAGTCGAACGAAACTCGTTCAGGTTCATGTTGAAGCACTGCGACAATGATTTGGGCGCCGTTCTGCTGGATTCGGCCCCCCCGCCGGACCTCATGAAAGTGGGGGTGTTCAGGGCTGCCATTTAATGTATTTCACGTGTATGTTTCACTGAAATCCTTATCCCAGTGCGCGACCACTAGGTAGATGAGGAAAAGCAAGAGGCTTCCGAGAGGTGCGGTGGCGTGATTTGCAAACCGGCAATAAAAAGTTGGACACTAAATGTGATTTCTCTGTTTGGTCTGTATACGACTCCGTTTTATTGAGCGCACGTAAGAGAGTTTGAGCTCACGTCATGGTGTGGCAGGCTGGCGGTGGAAATGGCCACTGCGTCAGCGAAGCACATGGAGAATCGTGTGTTGGAAGACATGGACACCATGCAGGTGTACATGGATAGACTACAAGATTTTCGGAACCGTCAGGCGTGCCACCCACGGACGGACGTAGTTTGCTCTTCATGGCCCGCCTGTTCGCTCAATGTGTATGAGTTGCAGCGAATTGCTGTTTCCATCGGTCCAGCCTGTCAGTAATTAAGTGGCTTGGTTGGTTGATCATTATGCACGTCGGTCAACCTCA